TTGTATCTATGTCCTACTGCTTCTACATTGCTAATACTTTTGTATCTATCGCTGCTACTACTTTCATGTCTGTTGCTACTACTTTTGTATCTATTGCCTACTACTTTCATGTCCATTACTTCTACTTTGTATCTATATCCATTGTATCAATACTACTTTCTTCTGTTGCTACTATTTTGTATCTATTGCTCCTACTACTTTCATATCCATTGCTACTACCTTTGTAACTATTGTTCCTACTACTTTCATATCCATTGCTACTACTTTTGTATCTATTGTTCCTACTACTTTCATGTCCATTACTTCTACTTTTGTATCTATTGTTCCTACTACTTTCATGTCTATTGCTTCTACCTTTGTATCTATTGTTCCTACTACTTTCATGTCCATTACTTCTACCTTTGTATCTATTGTTCCTACTACTTTCATGTCCATTGCTTCTACATTTGTATCAATCGCTGCTACTACTTTCATGTCTGTTGCTACTACTTTTGTATCTATTGCTCCTACTACTTTCATATCCATTGCTACTACCTTTGTAACTATTGTTCCTACTACTTTCATATCCATTGCTACTACTTTTGTATCTATTGTTCCTACTACTTTCATGTCCATTGCTTCTACCTTTGTATCTATTGCTGCTACTACTTTTTTGTCCATTGCTCTTACTTTCATGCCTTTTGCAATTTCTCTTTTATTGTAATTACGTTGATGATCAGTGCGGTTAGTTTCATATATTGTGTGATTACTGCAGACCCATTGCTCTTACTTTCATGCCTTTTGTGTTTACTTGTATTTCCATTGTGATTGCTTTCATTCTCATTGTGAATATATTTTTTTTTTCTGCTGTGGTTGCTTTTATTCTCAGTGCAGACACTTTCATGACAATTACCTTTACTTTGATGCTCATTGCACTTACTTTTATTTCTCCTGCTGCAGCTTAATTTCCAGTGTGATTACTTAAGTTTCATTGTGGTTACTTTCCAATGCAGAGTTGTGTGTGTGTGTGTGTGTGTATCTGTTATACTTGAGTTGATTCAAACTTGAGTGAATGAAATGAAAAGTGTGACTGTTGGAGATGATTAATGTTAGTTAGATATCAATGAGTATATCCTATCTGGTAATTACTACTGGGATCTTTATCCCATTCACCAGCTGAAAAGACTGGGAAAATTCTTGTTGGTCGCCCAACTCTAGACTTCAACATTAGATGTACAAGTAACATGTTATATCATAGCAAGCTCCGACATCAGTGAGACAAGAAACATGTTATGTCACTGAAAACCACCAACATAAATCATACAAGTAACATCTTATATCTCTTATGAACACCAACATCAGCCACACAAGTAACATGTTATATCTCTTATGAACACCAACATCAGCCACACAAGTAACATGTTATATCTCTGGTGGGCACCAGCATCAGTCGTACAAGTAACATAATATGTCTCTGGTGGGCACTGACATCAGTCAAACAAGAAACATATTATATCTCTGGTGGGGACCGGCATCAGTCATACAAGTAACATGTTATGTCTCTAGTGGGCACCAGTATCAGTCATACAAGTAACATATTATGTCTCTGGTGGGCACCGGCATCAGTCATACAAGTAACATATTATGTCTCTAGTGGGCACCAGTATCAGTCATACAAGTAACATATTATGTCTCTGGTGGGCACCAGCATCAGTCATACAAGTAACATATTATGTCTCTGGTGGGCACTGACATCAGTCATACAAGTAACATATTATGTCTCTAGTGGGCACCAGTATCAGTAATACAAGTAACATATTATATCTCTGGTGGGCACCAGTATCAGTCATACAAGTAATGTCTCTGTCATACAAGTAACATGTTATATCTCTGGTGGGCACCGGCATCAATCATACAAGTAACATGTTATATCTCTGGTGGTCACCAACATCAGCCACACAAGTAACATGTTATGTCTCTGGTGGGCACCGGCATCAGTCATACAAGTAACATATTATGTCTCTAGTGGGCACCGGCATCAATCATACAAGTAACATATTATGTCTCTGGTGGGCACCGGTATCAGTCATACAAGTAACATATTATGTCTCTGGTGGGCAACAGCATCAGTCATACAAGTAACATGTTATATCTCTGGTGGGCACCAGCATCAGCCACACAAGTAACATGTTATATCTCTGGTGGGCACCGGCATCAGCCATACAAGTAACATGTTATATCTCTGGTGGGCACCATCAGTCATACAAGTAACATGTTATATCTCTGGTGGGCACTGGCATCAGTCATACAAGTAACATGTTATATCTCTGGTGGGCACCAGCATCAGCCACACAAGTAACATGTTATATCTCTGGTGGGCACCGGCATCAATCATACAAGTAACATGTTATATCTCTGATGGGCACCATCAATCATACAAGTAACATGTTATATCTCTGGTGGGCACCATCAATCATACAAGTAACAAGTTATCTTTCTGGTGGGCACCATCAATCATACAAGTAACATGTTATATCTTGTGGGTGTCCGGCATCAGTCATACAAGTAACATGTTATCTCTCTGATGGGCACCATCAATCATACAAGTAACATGTTATCTCTGGTGGGCACCATCAATCATACAAGTAAAATGTTATCTCTCTGGTGGGCACCATCAATCATACAAGTAAAATGTTATCTCTCTGGTGGGGCACCATCAGTCATACAAGTAACACATTCAGGCATCTCTTGTACACCATGTATGAGACACCTTTAACAACTAGTGTTGACCTGCAGCTGGCAGTCATAAACACTGCTGTGGTCTCCAAAAAGTGATTAAAACCAAGGTAACTGCAGTCAAGCTAATATCAGTTGGGATATGTGGCCTGAATACATGGCCCTTTGTTGTTGGTGTGGTTTTATGGATGAAGGTTGCTGCCATATGCACTTCGTTAGGCTGCTTAGTCACAGCTCAGTGGATTAATTTCTGTGGTCTCCAACCATGACAGACTAACCATCTCACTAGCTAGATTTTTCTCTTGTCATCGGCTGAATCCATCTTGTTGGAACTAAGGATGGCAGATTGTGGTTTGCCTGAAGAACTTTTTGTAGGCTTTGTGCATTCTCCTCTTGTTTTTACAGAACTGTTGTTCTCAGCATAGGCACTATGTATACAGTTTGAAATGTGTGTATATTTTGGGGAGGGGTGTCTATATAGATTTGAAGGGAAATTCAGAATAAATATATTTTGTTTGGGACCCTCCTTATAGTTACTAAATAAAAAGTTTACCTCAAAATAAATTTCATGGACACAGGTAATTCAAAATTTAAACATTTGCAAGCGAATTTACTTGTAATCAATCAAACAAGTTTTAATTATACAGTATGTCAGACTGCATGTAAAAATGACCCTTTTTCACATCTACAGGCGTATTGATATATGGGGCTAGAATTATATTTTATAAACCAGTCGGCGCTCTGTGGATCTATGGTCAACATCAAGCCATCTGCCTTTACTTCCCAGGACTTTAGCTGGTACCTATTTAAAGCTGGGTTGACCTGGGAGCGAATGTTTTTTTAAAAAAAGTCTATTTCTAGTCGGATTTGAACCCATGACCTTCGGTTCCGAGGCAAGCTTCTGGCCAATACACCATGATGCCTTCCCCCAGCTACATGTAGTTTTAAATATAGAAGACTCATTACATGCATAACTTGTCAGCTCTGCATAACTGTTATTGGTTTGTTGATAAAGATGTTATCTGGGTATAAATATGTTATCTGGGTCATCAGTCATCTGAATGACTGTTTGGAATTTGTCAAATGTGTGTCTGATCTTTAGAAGCATTGGGTTGTATTGAAAAACTGTTCTGCCCTGAATGAATGCCTTTGATTGTATTGATAAACTGTTCTGCCCTGAATGAATGCCTTTGATTGTATTGATAAACTGTTCTGCCCTGAATGAATGCCTTTGATTGTATTGAAAAACTGTTCTGCCCTGAATGAATGCCTTTGATTGTATTGATAAACTGTTCTGCCCTGTGTGAATGTATTTGGTTGTATTGATAAACTGTTCTGTCCTGTGTGAATGTATTTAGTTGTATTGATAAACTGTTCTGCCCTGAATGAATGCCTTTGAATGTATTGATTGATAAACTGTTCTATCCTGTGTGAATGTATTTGGTTGTATTGATAAACTGTTCTACCCTGTGTGAATGCATATGGTTGTAAGGATAGGGATGCAAAGATATTGAACCACACATTATAGTCATTCCAGAAACAGCTTGCCAATTGAAAGCATTGCAAACGTAGACTGAATTGAATTTCCTTTGAAGTCTGAGAGCATGAAGTCTGTGTATTATAGACAGGGAAAAAACAGTTTGTGCACAAATAAGCCAGTTCTGTGCATAAATAAGCCAGTTCTGTGCACAAATAAGCCAGTTCTGTGCACAAATAAGCCAGTTCTGTGCACAAATAAGCCAGTTCTGTGCACAAATAAGCCAGTTCTGTGCACAAATAAGCCAGTTCTGTGCACAAATAAGCCAGTTCTGTGCACAAATAAGCCAGTTCTGTGCACAAATAAGCCAGTTCTGTGCACAAATAAGCCAGTTCTGTAAAGTGGATGTCCATGCAAAATTGAAATCCTGGAACAAGACCATATTTTAGAAATGGACGGGTAACCCGAACTTTTCACTGAATTTTACAGCCAGGGAATGCAGTGAAGAATAAACAAGATTGTGTTGATAAATTTGTCCATTCTGAATGAATATTTTTGATTGCATTGATGCGTTAGTCAACCCAGTGTGAGTGTATTTAGTTATATTGATAAACTTCTCAACTCTTTCTGAATGTTTTTGAATGTATTGACAAACGGATCATTTATGTGAATGTATTTGGTTGTATTGATAAACTTATCAGTTGAGTGAATGCATTTGATTTTTTGACAGTGATAATTCTTACTGCCTGTAGCTTGCGGACTGTGGGCTATGGCTGCCAACTTCATGATTTCTCACATTCTCTTGCAGAAATTTCTGCTTCTGGAAGAGCTGAAGGAGGAGCCCAATGCAGAGAAGTCCAACCTGAGACCAAAGGAGGATGCCTGCTATGTCGAACTGGACAATGTCACTGCTAAGTGGGAAGGGGTAAGCTAGCAGAAACTAACGGAGAGTTAATAAATGTGTATATTGTCGGTCTGTCCTGTTCTATCTGTCAGTCTGTCTGTTTATCTCTCCCTCAAAAGATTATAGTATGGTAAGCATAGGATGTCTTCTTCTTCTTCTTCTTTTGTTCGCTTGAAATAAATTATATCTGCAATGTTGTCTCTAGTATGAACTTCACTGTTTTGCACCGATGTTTCTCTTGGCCAAAAGTTTTGCCTTGAAATGTTGTATTTGGGACAGTCTTGGAGGACATGATCTGTTGTCTCAGACTGATAATGCATAGGATGTATTTGGCTTGGATGCGGGTTTTTTTTTAAAATCATCTTTTTCTTTTGTTCGCTTGAAATAAATTATCTATATCTGCAAAGTTTACTAAAAGTTATTGTTTAAAAATAAAGGTGCCAGTCAAGCACTTTCCAGCATTTGTACTGAATATTTAATTGTTGTTGATGATGTTCATATTATGCAATGTATTAGACTTATAACATTACTGGATTAGGTTTATTACTATATTTTTTTTTTTTAAGTTCAGTAATGTAAGTATGATTAGAGCACATTCCAGTGTTTGTAGTTAAGACTTAGATGTCTGTAATATTTAAGTGGGAGCTAGATATTTGCCTTCTGACCTGAAGTTTTGGGTTTGGATCAGCACCGGATTCAGATTGTTTTAAAATACTTGGGTCTTCCTGGTTAATTAACACATACTCCACAGTAGAGAAGGTTGACGGTTTAAACTCTCTGCATTCTTCCCTCAGTCTAATGCAGTTAACATTAATTTTTTTTTTTTATATATAATTTCTCTTTAGAACATCAACACGCCACTTGATATTTTTCTATGTGCTGAACATTAACCCACTAATTGATTGTTTTCCTATGTACTTTCTGTGTAACGCACCCTAACTCAAACATTAACACACTAGTTAATACTTTTTTCTATTGTTTTCTATGTTCAACACGCCAACCCAAACATTGGCACACTGACTGATTTTTTCTTTGTGCTTTCTGTCTAGAGCACCCTGACCCCAACATCAACTGACTAATTAATATTTTGTTGATGTTTTTTCTTCCTCTGTGTAGAGCACGTCGGACACAAACACACTGGAAAACATTAGTCTCAGTGTTGGTCCTGGACAGTTGATAGCAGTCATTGGCCCAGTTGGAGCAGGAAAGGTGAACAAGCTTGTTAGAAGTTGGTATATCTAGAAATAAGTTGTGTTGCTAGCTGGGATGAGGCCAGAGGATGTCATTATTGACATCTGGAATCCCCCCAATTATTCCGGGATCCCATTATGGGGAAAACAAGACTAGACCCATTGCTTCCCCATCAAGCATGTTGTAGGGGTCAACTAATTGGGGTCTTCCTTCAAAGTCAGAGTGCATCTGCCTGAGTGGCAAGGAACAACCAACTGCACCCAAGCCAGCAAAATGAATGTACAAGCAAAACTGGGGCCCTGACAAAAAGCCAAAGTCTAAATGGATGAACAAGCAGGACTTACCACCGGTGCTTACAGCCGGTGTACACAGAAATAGAAGAAGACATCTGGAAGGCAGTAGCCTTTACCTGGAAGGGAGGTATCATTGAAATGATGGTGAAATCTGCATAAGCCAGGAGAGCTGGTGAGGGACCAGTTATTGACATATTATAAACTGATAGGATTATGTACAATAATGTAAACACTGCTTAATACTTTTTCTTCTTTACGTCCTCTTTTACCACTTAAGGTGTCGAGGGAGATATAAGGTCCTACTTCGTGCTCTTCTGGCTGGTTCCACCATAGACACATCGTGGTGCTGTAGATTTTCTCTTCTTCTTCTTCTTTCGTTCGCATGAAATAAATTATCTATATCTGCAATGCTGTCTCTAGTATAGATTTTCTCTGATGTTATCTTCCAATATTGTTCTTGGTCTACCTCTCGCTCTATGTTCCTCTCCTCTTTTGGTATATGCCTTGTATGGTATAGCATCAGAAGGCATTATTTCCAAGTGGGCCAACCATTTGATTTGCTGTCTTTGAATGTAATTTAGAATTGGTTCTGTGCCGACTTGATCTTGTATGACCTCGTTCCTGATTTTATCTCTTCTGGTCACTCCTACAATCTTTCTCAGACATTTCATTTCCATCGCTACTAATTTTTTTTTATGTTTTGTTGTGAGTGACCACTTCTGGCACTGGTAGCATGGGGTGGGAATGAATTTGCTTGGTAGCATGGGGTGGGAATGAATTTGCTTTGTACGAGATGTTTCTTTGTGCTGCCTGGGATTGCCTAATGCTAAAATACAAAAGCAGTTAGATGAAATGCCATGCTGAGACAAGTTAAGTGCCTACTAGAATGGAGCTGAGAAGTGAAGAGGAGGAGATATTATTGTTTGGTAGGAGAACTCCCTTCCAGTAAAACTTCAGGGATCTAAAATTCTGGTGTGTTTTTTTTCTCTTTCTTTCCTTTTATTTTTTCTGTCTCTTTTCCATACTGCGGCCTGGTTGAGGCTTAGCATGTTTTACTTTTACTAAAAATCTCTCCAAAGAATCTTGCGTTGGGATGTTTCAGAAATGTGACATTGTCTGGTCATTCCAGACAGTGCAATTATGTTTTGTTTGGATTTTGTTGTGGTGGTACATTTCTGCAGTTTTTAACATCTATCCATTTGGCAAACATTTCCTTGATTAATGAGAGAGGTAAACAAGGGTTATGTGCAAGTGTCCTGGTTCCTTTTGACCCATATAAGTCCTGGCAGGTGAGTCGTATTCCAAACAAAGGTTGTATACCAAACAGGTTTGTTCAGGTTCAAACAGGATGTATACCAAGTTGAACATATACTAAAGCAGATGTATACTGAGTTACCACTTAATCTTGGAAAATATGTCTTAAGAGGTAATCATATACCTAGTATGTTTATGGGACTAACTAGGAGATAACCTCGTCAGTGGTTAGAGAAATCATTTTGTTGTGAATAAATCACCTGTGCTTGTGTCCCCAGTCCTCACTTCTCATGAACATCCTTGGGGAGCTACCGGCCCTGAAAGGCACAGTCAAAGTATCAGGCAAGCTGGCCTATGTCTCCCAACAACCATGGATATTTTCTGGCAGTGTGCGCCAGAATATTGTGTTTGGTGGCATCTTTGACAAGGCCAAATATGACCGAGTCATCAAAGTCAGTGCTTTGAAAAGGGTAAGTGATGGATGATGTCCTCACCAGCAAGTTGATGAGTGACTGTTGATTAGTGAATGGAGAATGTCATCTGTCCCTGGATGGGTTCCAGGGGAAGGGGGGGGGGGGTACTGCCCCTAACAAGCATATCATAAAGGGCAACTAATTGGGAGTTTGCTGAAATTACATGTGTTTGGACAAAATGCTCAGATATATTAGCCCAGCTGTAAACCTCAGCACAGTGTGCTGCCCTTTTAAGGTGAATGCAGAAGAAGAAGAAATGTATTGAACATATGATGCTAACCATATAAATAGACTAGCCAAAACTAGATGGTCACGTTTACTTCTCTGTAACATTTCTGGGTACCCATTTAAGGCTGAGCTGATTTTTAAACCTAGGCCAGTTTTGTCTTGAGTTGGATTGATTGGATTGGAACTTGTGACCAGTGGGCTGGAAGGTGAGGGCACTAGCCATTGCATTACAACAGCTTCTGAATTTAATACTGGCTATCGGAAGGAAGCATCAATCCCAGAAACGGCGCAGATACTAGAATTTAGTCACGAAAGTGATGCAAATAACCCAGACCACAAATATAGGCGGAGACTGTTAGCAGCCTCGGCTAGCTAGCAGCAGTCTGAAAGTGGTCGACCTTTTAATTTTTTTTTTTCTCAAAAGAAATTGGAATACTGACTATACCTGGATTCCAATATGTCATGAATATCATTAACCGTTTTACCCCGATAATGCTTAAAGTTAGAATTCCATTAAAAAATCCTGAAATAAACTATTTTACAAAAGTGACTATTTTTTTTTTTTAATGGTATCTGCATTTAAAAAAAAATGTTTTTCAAAATAACTAAAGATCTATGAAGGGAGTATTCAGTGAACATGAACAGTGTAAAGCATTAAATGAAATACATTTCCTAGGGCCTGAAAAAACATGTATCCTGGGTGCTCATGCTGTGATCTCATGACCTCAATCAATGAAGCTGTGGAAAAACTTAACCTCAACTTGGCTTATTTTTAGTTAAATCCGTCATATTATGACTTCCTAAACTTCTTTTGCAGGTGCGAAAACAGTCGATTGCATTAACTGTATGTCTCGTAAACAGGTCACTATAGACAAGTCAAGGAAAAAAAATTATATTAATGGGGAATTGGGCCAAACCAAAAGTGTTGATTTTTTCGGATTTGATTTTGCAAAAGGTCCAAGTCCACTATACCCAGAAGATTTTAGTAATACAATGGATAGATGCTTTCCTGCTGGCCTGGAGGTTTTGCATTCAAATCCATATCCACATTGAAGTGGGCTGCCAGGTTGACCCAGCCCATAATGAATACTAGGAATTGTTTTGAAAAGTTAAGGTGGCCACATAGTCTGTAATGTTCAGATGTATGCTGGTAGGAGGAGGTTGGTATGTGAAGTCCTAGAAGTAAAGGACCTTGTTGGTCCATCATAAGGGATGATGACCATTCCTTTCATCCCCTAAGTAGAGTGGGGTCTGTGTGAGTGTGTGTGTAGGTGACTGATAAAGCCAATTCTGACACAAAAAAACTTTATCACACCATTGCCATAGATGAAAGCTGAGTTTCCCGTGTGATAGTTCTGGGTTTGAATCCCCAGATAGTCATGGATATGCTCCTGTCAGGGGCATAAAAACAGTCCTAACCTGCACAGTCCATGGTGACTGAACATGCCATGCGGCCCTAAATCCTCAGGCTCAAAGATCAGGTTATGCAGTGCAATTGAAAGTGCATACAGAAGATCCTTAGTCCCCTCTGATACTTCAGTGAGGTAACTAGAGGAACAGAAAATGAAGAATGGTACTTTTCAGCAACCCCCACTCCCCCACCCCACAATCTTGTTAGCTGCGAGGTTTGGTAGGGAAGTGCTAGGTAGTTCACTGGAAGGTTCTGTAGTAAATTGAGGTTAGGGTTAGTTTCTTCATCTTGTTCTTTCTTCGTTCACCCAAAATAGATTATCTATATCTGCAGTGTTGTCTTTAATATGAACTTTACTGTATTCTGTAATTCACTTAGCAACCCGTAAAGTTCAGCTTGAACCAGTGTTTCTCTTGGGTAGATGTTAGGCAGTGCAATGTGAATTGGCGAAATTTTAGGGCGCAGGACCCTGAAAAGAACAAGAGTGAACTTCCCTACACATCAGGAACATGGTGCTATACACGTATTTTTTTATTTTTTTTTATAGATCAGTCAGCACTTGATGGGGGATGAGCTCCCTTTACTTCCAAGGACATTACCTGCTACCCATTATAGACTAGGTTTACCTGGGATACAGTCATTTGATAACAATCCACCTCTAACCCATGTGGAGGGAACTGGAAAGAACAGTGACGGAAGGCTTGGTGCCGGGTAAGAGGGGCAGGGGCCAACCAGTGCTAAGATAGGCACAGGAGATAAGAGACAACTTAGGTAGCAGTGTGCTTGAGGGAAGAGAGTTGGCTAAGGGCAGTTTTTATTTTAATTTTTTTAAAGCAGACTGATGAGAGTGATATTCTGTAAAGACATGCTACATGATGATGATGATGAATTTATTTTTGCTGCATTTCAGGATTTTGAAATCATGCCCCAAGGGGATGCTACTCTGATTGGTGATAGAGGAGTTAGCTTGAGTGGAGGTCAAAGGGCACGTGTGTCCTTGGCCCGAGCCTTGTATATGGATGCAGACATATACTTACTTGATGACCCTCTGAGTGCTGTAGATTCTGCTGTTGGGAGACATATATTTGAACAGTAGGTTTCTTTTGCTGTTGAGATTTTCATTATATTTTTAATTTATTTTTTGATGGCGATATGTTATTCTAGATGTAAATATTGTTATTAAAAACATTTTAGCTCTGATGTTCATCATTACAGCAGCAGACCTCATCTGTATATGGTCATACATAGTTCTATATCATTATTTCACATCTTATCTTGTCCTGCCTTTTATCTCACAGTGGAGCTTACACCTCAACCAACTCACACCAGCTAGTGCAGCTCATCCTGTATCCTCTCCTTTATTTTTTGTTTCCACCTCATTTTCCTAGTTCTCTTCTCCATGTATTTTTGGATCTACTTTTATTCCTGTATTTCTATGAGTTCCAATGCAAGGACATTCTAGTTATATTGTTATCAGGTTTTCTCAGTATGCCCTATCCAATGTCAGCATCTTTTACTCACCTCTTGATTTGCTGAAATTTATTTAGTTCTATCCAAAAGCTCCACATTAGCATATACTTATTGGGTTTTTGTCTTAAAACTAATTTTTTTGGGTGTGATGTTTGGGGTTATAATCAGCTTTATTAAAACTTCAGTTTTCGTCCTATTTTAGTGTGAAATCTTATTGTGACTGCCCAAACATTTTTTCTTTCTTGACGTGTTGAATTACAGCAGTGGCTTTCTCTTTTGAGTTGACTTTCTGAGGGACTTACTTGTGGTTTGACCTTCTATGTAGCCTCTTTATTTGGGGAAACCTTCTCACTTGTTTATTTAGGGGGGCCTTCTATATGACTTCTTAATTTAGGTTGACTTTCTGAGTTATTTCTTTATTTAGATGGACCTTCTACGTGACTTTTTTTATTTTGGTTGATCTTCTGAGTGGCTTCTTTATTTTGATGGACCTTCTAGGTGACTGTCTTTTTTTTTTTTTAGGTTTACTTTCTACAAGACTGATTTATTTAGGTTTATCTTCTGAGAGATTTGTTTATTTAGATGGATTTTTTAATTGACCTTCTAAGTGATTTGTTTATTTAGGTCAACCTTCTAAGTGACTTCTTTTTTTAGGTCTACTTTTTATGTGACTTCTTTATTTAGGTGGATCTTCTATGACTTCTTTATTTACTTTGTCTAACTACTTCCTTTATCACATAATTCTTGTGTGCATAGATTCCATATTTATATAATGTTATATTTATCTCATGTGTGTTTACTTACAGGTGTATAGTCAATCACTTGAAAAACAAGCCCAGAATTCTAGTCACCCATCAAGTTCAGTTTTTACCTGTTGCTGACACAATTTATATTCTCAAGGAGGTAACTTATTATTTTATTTTTAGGGGAGAAATCTCTCATTCATCTTGTGCGGGCTCCGGGTCCCCATTGTGGGAAAACAAGAATAGACCCATTGCCTCCCTTACAAGCATGTTGTAAGGGTCAACTAATTAAGGGTCTTCTTCGGAGTCGGGGTGCATCTACCTAAGAGGCAAGGAACCAACAGTTTGCACACAGGTAGGCTAAATCTTTAAAATGGATGTGCACACAACACTCAAGCTCTGGATAAAAAAACTAAAGTCCAGAAGTGGACGAACATCCATAATTTTTCACTGGAGTTTACAGCCAGTAAGCATGAAGAAGAAGAAGTTTCCTCATTTTGTTACATTATTGTACTTTGTCCAGTTAGTTTTCATTTTTTGCAGATATGTGACAATGCAGTGATTTGTTAACAAATACACAATTCTAACCCTTTTATGATCATGTGATATATGTGTTAACACTGTGTGAAACCTAAAATTTGTTTATGCAATGATGTTGTTTTATGTTAATTTGCAAGCAATTGTGCCATCTCCTCAGTGGAGGTTAGCTGCTGTGGATATATGCGACTACTGATCTGGAAATACTGTATGTTGAGATCCCAGTCTCTTCCGCAGTGTGACTCTTGTACCACTGTCTAAAAGCCATGATACAGTTATTTTTTAAACCACCTGCAGCCAAATTCTAGCCCTGGTGTGCAGAGGATTGTGAAAAATGCTTGTTAACCTCTTATGTTAAATATACCTAAATCATTTTAAGTATTGGTATAGCACTGTATATCGGTGGCTTAGGCATTGCGAACGCACTTTGTAATGTTGGGTTGCCGGGTTTGATCCCAGCTGCAGAGGATCTGTCTTGCATTTGTTTCTACAGTGATACCGAGAGCAGAAAGCAGTGGCCAGTTACTGATTGTAAAATTTGCCTAGAAAAGCCACAACAGCCAAACAATGCTGGGGTTGGTTCTGCAACATCTGGTAAAGGAACCGCAGCTAACTTTCAATAGCACCATAAGCCAAACCTGCCATTGGCAGTGGGGAAAAAAAGGTCCTTTCATACAAGAAAAACATATTACCTCATAGATCCTTGTAGTCCTGAAAGGGTTAACAAATGTTGTGAGAAGATTTTACAGCATAAGACAATCCGACAATCCGTATCAGCACAGATAAACATCTTATGCAGAGTATATTCGTTTCCACTCTTTGCTACCAGTACCAGACAAAGTCCCTTACAACAAACCAGAACAGAAAATTATTAACCATGGAAATGAGAGTCTGAGAAAGGCTGCAGGAATGATCAGAAGAGATAAAATATGAACTTATTTGCATTCTAAAGTTGTGGAGGGGGGGGGGGTATTTTGTAAATGATATCTCTGACCCTTACATTTTCTGAGGGTGAGGGGAGGTACTGTATTCTTGTTTAAGTATTCAGTAATAATAGTAATATCAACACTCCTGGCCTTCTCGTGGCAGAGATGTTTAAACTAACAGGAGAAGGGGCGAAAGCGGGTCTCTGGCGCTTTAACCAGACGCTTCGGGTAGATGAGGCTCGTCAGTACGGGAGTGCAGCTCATCTAGGAGAAGGAAAACTCTGATTTCAAACCACGGGCAGATGAGGCTCGCCAGCACGGGAGTGCAGCTCATCTAGGAGAAGGTAAACTCTGACTACACACCTCCACTGCCTTGTGGCCATACCCATGTTTGGGAAAGTGCTTCGGGAGTAAACCCTGAGGAAAAATCCGGAGCTGGAATCCCTAAGGCGGTTTAGCATTGTATACAGTGCTATTCCGGCAATTCCTGCAACGTCCTCGGTGCCAAGTTGTACTGGTTTTTGCCTTTCCCTTGGTATCACCGGCGACGTAGAGAGGGGGTACTTGCTGCCTGGGCAACAGTCTGTACTCCAAATCAAAACGCCCTGGCCTGTGCCCTGGAGAGGTCACTCCAGCGATGCTTAACAGTTTCGACACAACACGGGAAACAGCAGTCACCGGTTATAAGCCTTTGCTCAATTGGCATAGAGCTAGGCGCCAGGGGTTGTTTCCGACGGTGGGAGAGACCATCGTAGTCTCATTGGACAGCTACCGCCCGCCTCAGCTGGGCAGCCCCCAGTCAGTAAGGTGTTGTCCCGCCACGATCCGTTTGCCTTGTTGGGTGCACAGGGCTTAGGGAATAACCCGACATACGGATTGTAATTCTTGTACCTACACAAAGAAGCCAAAAAATCAGATTCCCAGCTCTAAAGCTGGGCACATGGAACGTGAGGACCATGACACCTAGTATTCTGGATGATCTGCAGCATATGAGCGATGTAAGGAAAACTGCAGTCATTAACAATGAACTATCCCGTTTGAACGTAGACATTGTTGCCCTACAGGAAACCCGGCTCTCCTCCTCAGGTAGCATCAAAGAGAAGGACTTCACATTCTTCTGGCAGGGAAAACCATCTTCGGAGTCCATGGAACAAGGCGTAGGCTTTGCGATTAGGAACCGATTGCTTGGAACTGCCACACCACCTACAGGAGGATCAGAAAGGATCCTTAAAATTCAGGTCCAGACAAGAGCTGGATCAGTCATTCTGATAAGTGCCTATGCACCAACCCTGCCCTCTTCTCCCGATTCCAAGGACAAATTTTACGAGGAACTCAGTTCCACACTCAGCGAAGTCCCGGACAGGGAAGCCCTATTCATTTTGGGTGACTTTAATGCAAGAGTGGGCGCTGAGCACAGCTCATGGCCATCCTGTATGGGACATTTTGGAGTAGGAAAAATGAATGAAAATGGACAGAGGCTGCTTGTGCTATGCTGTCTTCACAACCTCTGCATCACAAATACCTTTTTTGATCTGAAACCCCAGCACAAGGTCTCTTGGAGACATCCCAGATCTAAGCACTGGCACCAGCTTGACATCATCCTCACTAGACGCAGTCACCTTCATCTTGTAAAGGTCACTCGCAGCTATCACAGTGCAGATTGTGACACAGATCACTCCCTTGTGTGCAGCAAAGTGAAGTTAATCCCAAGCAGAATACATCGGGCAAAGAGGCCAGGACGGCCCCGCATTGACACAGGAGAAAGTCGTAATCCTGGAAAAGTAGGAGAATTTATAAAAATCCTGAGCACAGCTCTGCCAGGCCCACCAAACGCGGATGCTAGTGACAGATGGAAACATCTAAAACACGCCCTATATGATTCTGCCATGTCCATGTTCGGTAAGAGGCAAGTTAAATCACTGGACTGGTTTGAGGAACACAAGGAAGAAATGTTGCCAATAATAGAGGAGAAGAAAAAGGCTTTATTGGGATATAAAATCCAGCCAAATATCAGAAATCTGCAAGTCCTCAGGTCCATTCGGTCTAGAGCCCAGAAAACTGCACGGCGCTGCGCTAATGATTACTGGATCAAACTTTGTGAGAGGATACAAACCTCAGCAGCTACTGGCAACATAAGGGAAATGTATGCTGGCATCAAGAAGGCTATTGGGCCAGTAAAAAGAAAGATTGCCCCTCTCAAATCAACCACGGGCGAAATCATAAAGGATCGGACAAGGCAGCTGGACCGTTGGGTGGAGCACTACTCAGGGCTATATGCTACAAGCACCTTTGTATGTGAAGAGGCCTTAAATGCAATGGAGTGTCTGCCAACCATGGGTGAACTAGACACGGAACCCTCCGTCACAGAAATCAGTGAGGCAGTAGATGGGCTTCCTTCAGGGAAGGCCCCAGGAGAGGAT